TTGAATCCCGTGAGGCTCCTGTACGCGAGTGTGGCTGTCCTAGCTGAAGCCCTTGTTGCCCTCCCCTCTGGAATGTCTTCCTCCCTCTCCGGGGACCAAAGGAGCCAGTGTGGTTGGCTGGTGCCATCTAGCGGCAGCCGCTAGATCCTACACCGCTTTAAACCGCAGTGGCTACTAAGGCTTGGCTCCAGTTTCGGACATGCCGTCCTCCTCGCCAAGTGACCGAGCCAGCAGGCAGAGCTCAGGAACGACCCAGCTGCTCCATGCCTCTGTGCCAGAGCCCCATGAAGGCTAAGTAACAGCCCTCTGTCCCACAGGAGCAGGCTGGGTGGTGGCAGCAGCACCCTCTGCATGGCTGCTCCGTGGAAGGGCTGTCCCAGCAGCTCCAGCCGCTCTCCTCGCTGTTTTGTTTATTTGTTTGTTTTTTACTCCTGTGCCATCACTCTCTACTTCCCTCCTCCTTCTCTCCCTCTCTTCTTCTTTTTAAATTTATTTATTTATATTGGAAAGGCAGATGTGTAGAGGAGAGACAGAGAGGAAGATCTTGCATCCAATGTTTCCCTCCCCAAGTGACCACAACAGCTGGTGAAGCGCCAATCCAAAGCCAGGAGCCAGGAACTTCCTCCAGGTCTCCCATGTGGGTGCAGGGTCCCAAGGCTTTGGTCTGTCCTCGACTGGTTTCCTAGGCCACAAGCAGGGAGCTGGATGGAAAGCAGGGCCGCTGGGACATGAACCAGCACCCATATGGGGTCCCGGCACGTGCAAGGTGAGTCCGCTAGGCTACTGCCCCAGGGTCCATTTTCCAGACCTGCTAAACTGGACCCATGGCTATTCAGGTGGGCAATTGGATCACTGCATCTGTGTGGGACACCTGGCTGAAATCCCTAGCTTTGACCACGCAGCCATGTGGGGAACCAAACAGCAGATGAAAGACCTCTCTCTTCCTTGCTCTGTAACTCTTTCAAATAATACTAAACTATTTTATTCTCTCATCAGTAACCAAAAAAAAAAACAGCGTTTGAGCTTCCTTTCAGCACTTTTCTCTCTCCTCCCATCTCCCTCACCCTGGCCCAAAAGCACACATATTTTTCATGCATGGTCACCCCCTCCTGAAAGCCCGGTGATGGAACAATGCTTTTGACTTTGTTTAATCCAGGCCCTACCATGGTGTCACAGGGCATTTTTCAGCCCCTAGATTGCAGCTCTATGAGGTTCAGAAGGGAATATAGAAGCTGGGTGGAGCTTGGAAGTCACCACTACTCTCATGCTGAATCCCCACTGGCGGCTGTCAGCAGCAGCTCCAGGCAGGCCCTATAAGAAGCGAGGTGGTGGGGTTTCTGCATCCCGGGACTGTGACTCACTCTCCAGATTGGGCAGACGCTCAGCAGGTGAGGCCCTTCACCCTTGGCAGTCTTGGCCCCTAGACCTGTGAGTACAGGAAGCCTTCATAACTGCCCCACCTGTGACATTCAGTTTCAGGCACAGAGCGCAGTCACACCGGGGACTGCCACACCCTCACCATCTCCCTCTCTACCTTTCCCTGTCAGCTCCTCCCCCTGCCAGTACACACTGAAGACTTGTTCATCCTTGGATCTGCACAGCAAGAAGTACCTACTAGGGGGTGGAAATTTGGTATAGCATTTAGGACCTCCTCCTGGGATAACCCTGCCCCCCATCCCAGGGTCTGAATCCCATCCCTGCTCCCAGTTTGAGTGCACACTGGGAAACAGCAGGTGATGGCCTTAACACTTGGGTCCCTGCCACCCATGTGGCAAACATGGTGAGAGCTCCAGGCTCCAGGCTTCAGCCTGGTCCAGCTCCAGATGTTGTAGACAAAATATCTGTTCCATGATGGCTTTAAAAAGAACCTGTTGAATTGTCCTAATAACTGAGTTACAACCCTTCTGGTGCAGAGACATGGGGGTGGGACAGAGACGGGGAGAGGAGCTGTGTAGCTCCATCTTGGACAGCTGCCTGGCTCTGCCCCTACAATGAACACAGGCTGGCTCGGCAAGTTGATTCTAAAAACATATTCCCAGCAGGTCATTACCCTGTATGTGGAGACCCTCACAACAAAAGCCTTCACTTCCTCTCCTAGTGTCCCAGGTGCCCACACACGATTATACAATGAGGGTTTCCTATGTGGTCAGCAGCTGCCCGATGCATGCACAACCTTCTCCCAAGCAGCCGGAGATTTTCCATGGTGGTAAAACAAAGGCTGGCCTCATCTAGTGAAAACCCCAACAATGACGGAAGAAACTGGGATTTCAATGGAAAGAAACCACATTTCACTTTGTCTTTTATTTATGCTCCACTTAAATATCTCCAATTGTTGAAAAAAAAATCAGTGACAGTCATGAGCATACAGCTTAAAATACAATAACAGCGATTTCTAAGGAACATGGTTAATAATTGTTCTAAGAAAATGCTTGTTAAGAAATAGTTTCCAAGAGGCAAGTTAGACAACAGGTGCTGGAGGAGGGGCCTCGGACACGAGCAGCCATTGGTTCAAACCTGTTCTCCCATTAGGCCGCACAGGCTTGGCACCAGCACCACCAGCTGTGCCTCCACCCTTACCCCTGACTCACGGTGTCAGAGACAAAGGGACTTGTAACATGAAACTCGCATGGCTCTCCAGAATATTCTGGTTAAAGCTGGGAAGTTAAAGTCTTTTCCAAAGCTGTCAGACACATGTAGAGGGGTCCTCCAGACGCTGATGAATGTGAGTCAAGGCAGACTCATCCTGGGCACATGTAGGATCGTCTTCATGGCTTAACTCACACGCAAGCACCTTAGTTTTCCCATAGGTTTCCCCGCCTTCATGCCAACTCATTAGTGTCCAAACTGAGTTTTCTCTGGTATGTCTAATCCTAGAGACGCAGGCCAGATATACTGCACTGACATACCTCCGAATTTATATTCCAATAAATTCGCTTTGAAGTCATAGGACACCTCCTCTTTCGAATACAGAACTTACACCATCTTTTCTATGCATTTTGTCCAATCCCCACTCAGAGCTATCCTATGCACATATAAAATCATGACCCCAATCTTATCCAAATTTCTTCCTTAACATAATAAGCAACCGTAAGCACGAAAGCATGCTTTCACATTCAGTCTCAGCTCTTAGTTCCTCTTATTGAAGTCTCTTTGGAAGATGTGACAAGTGACACCAACCTTCTCTTGAATCCCTAAAGCAGGAGCCCACATGCTAAATAAAAGGCCTCCCAATAGCAGAATCGTAGTGAAGGAGACAGACACGCTGGGGGTTAACGAGGAGGCCATGTTCCCTGGGGCATGGAAAGAGCTGAGAGAGTTCACAGTGGGAAACAGACGGGGGCGGGGGGGCGGGGTACGCTGGGCTCTCTCCTCAATATGCCCACTAGCAGGCAGGCTGAGAAAAGGCCGATCTGCTTGGAGATACAGGTGCCAAGTCTGCATCCTCTCAGCTGCCCCATCACATGCATGACTTCGCCTTCAGAGGATGCAGACCCTCAACATGCCAGTGAAGGCTCTGCGGGCACTCCTAGATGTGGCTGGCGCAGAGAGCAAAACACCAGATAAGTAGAGTCCTCCATTCTAGCAGCAAGCCCCAAGCGGAGAGATCGGCATGCCTCCCATTTCAATTCTTAGTTAAGATCTAGGAGACCACAGTGGTTCCCAGACAAATGGAACAAGGCTCAAACTTAAGTACTCAGAAGCCAATTCTTAGATAAAGCTGATCCACAGCACTGGGAGATACACAGAAATGCAGCCCTGTATGCACAGGACCGCAGCCCTGGCCTACGACCTGACAGAACCCAAAGATGCCAAGCCCAGGGAACTCTGCTTTTCTTAGTGGGTGGCCCTGAGCTGGTAAAAGGCTAATGCAGTTTAACTGCAATGGACAAGTTTCCCTGATAGGCTGCAGGGAAATAAAAACGCTCTTGTGGGATTATATTTGTGTTTCCATTCCATTTAGGGACACATTTCCTGTTGTTTCAGCACCACAGATGAAATTCATGTCCCCAAACGGATCCACCTGGTTTACTATTCAAACAGACTCCGCCCCACTGCCTCCTGGGATGCAGACAGCAGACTTCGGCTAGTATGTATCTGTTCTCAAGCCCTGCACTGATCACCTCTCCAGATTCAGGCTCTCAAGTCCACAACCCACTGGCTATACCTGTTCTGTCTTAAATATCCATCTATCACAACTCTCACATGGAAGAGATTCAGTCAAGCTCCCTGCCACTTTTCGGAGGGAAGAGGTGAAAGAATGGATTCAGGCTGGATCTAAGTAGCAGCTGCTGCAGTGGAGAATGGCTGGCCTTTCAGCAAAGCAGCACTAGGTCTGCATCAGGTGGAATTAACAGGGCAATTGAGCGGCACCATGAGAAAGGCTAGATGCTTCTGGACTAGAGCGAAGGGCTAGTCCCAAGTTACCTATGGCTCAAAGATTCAAGGGAGGGTTTGGTAGAGGGCACCACTAGCTAGGCCAGGGGCCTAGCCCAGCCATGTTGCCAGCAGGCCTGCCTGCAAGCTAAAAGAAGACTAACGGAATTAGAATGCAGTTTATTTAAAAACATTTTCACAATCCCAACAAAGGTTAAAATAGTGCACAGGCAAGTTATCTTACAGTATGAATTGTAAACGTAAGCTTTCGTACTAAAAAATTTACAAATAAATGAAGCTCAGTAGCCTAGAAGTGTGGCTGAACAAAAAAAAAAAAATCATCATATTTGTAAATTTTGCAGCTGGATCTCAGAAGCTCCTTAATTAAATGAACCAGCCAAGGCCTGCACAGTCTGCTTAACAACCTCTCTATCAAAGAACTCCACAGGCCCAGGCCAATTATTAGTTCTCCAAGCCTGGCCCTCCGCAGAGGGGCAGCACCCAGAATCTCATGCGGGGTCATGAGATTACTGTGGTTTTTCATGGAGGCTGTTCTTCTGCCTCACCTTAGTCAATCAGGCAGCAAGCTAAATCTGACAACCCTTATAGTAGTAAGGTTTGGCTAAGCTTGCTTAGGAATGCATGAAAAGGTTTGGAAGAGCATTTTCTTTCACCGTGGCCGTGGGCTAGAAGACCCTTTAACCACCCTTGTAATACGCATCCAGTGCATCAGAGTTAAAGTACACCACGGTGACCGTGATGTCATCCCTGTACAGCCTCGCCAAGTCCTCGGGCAGCGTCAGCATGGCATTCAGCCGCTCGGCCTCCATCTCCCCGTACTCATTGCTCCCAAGAGCGTGCCTGATCAGATGTGTGGCAGCATTGTGGTCGGTGATGGGCAACCCGCGGGCTTTCCTCTGTAGCAGCAGGCTCTGCATGAGCCCCAGGTTGGTACGTCCCTGGGCCAGGTCGGACTTGTTGTGCCCACCCACCTCAGCCAGGTGCCCCACCACGAGCCTCACCACATCCTCGTTGCTCAACATGTCCCAAAGGCCATCAGAGGCCAGCACCAGGAACTTATCCTGGGGCCTCAGCTTGTGGTAGGTGACCTCGGGCCGGGCTGTCAGGTAAGGGGGAGTGTAATAGTGGAGGGGCTTGAGCTGGTAGATGTTGAGGGCCTCCGTGTCAAAGCCCCTGTCCAGGACGCTGCGCTGCAGCTCCTGGCTCCACTTGAACTGAACATCTCCGAAGGCTCTGCAGGGCATCAGGACGCCCAGCAGCCTGTCCTCCATGACGATGGTCCTGTCTTCTGATGCCGGGTGCTCCTTCTTCAGCCGGGACAACTCGGCCGGGTTCCAGGCATTGTGATCACAGCTAAGGGGCACACAAGACCACAGGCCATTGTCCTCCTGCACACCCAGGACGGCCCGGCAGTCGCCAGCATTTGCCACATGCAGGTGTATCCCATCGATGTGAGCCATGCACGCCGTTGCTCCAGAGAAGGCCACCTGCAGCGACAAGTTCATGGCCATCTCGTCTTCCAGGGGAGCCTGGACTTCCAGCGAGATGTCAGAATCTAGTCTCTGGAAGGAGTGTACCAAGGCCTCCTCTGTGCTCAGGCCCATCCCCATGTGCAGGTCGAGCAGCTCCTGCCAATAGACCCGCAGGTGGTCTAGATGCACTGATGTGACATCCTCGTAGATGCTCTGCCCTGGGTGCTTGAGCCACTGCAGGATGGGCAGCAGGGGCTTCATGTTTTCCACAGCCTCCTCCATCTGCTCCAGGGTCTGCTGGGACATCAGGGACACCGCCACATAATAGAAGAGCCTCTCGCTCACGGCTTGCGCACATGCGTGACCCCCATGTCCATCGAAGATGCCAAACATCAGGCCACTGGTCTGCAAGCAGGAGGCCACGCCCCGCCGGTCCTCGACGGGGGAATTGGCGGCCAGCTGGTTGCTCTCAAACCGCAGCACCGGATTTGGGGCTCCACCGGGGAGGGAAAGAGGCTGATACACCAGCTCGCCGGCACGAAGCACCTCATTGACCTGCGCAGGGCTGAGCTGCAGGTTGAAATCTTCCTCTGTTGATATATGTCTGCAGGCTTTTGGCAGTGCCAAACCACCCCTCAGGACTTCATCTCTTAGGGCGGGTGGTCCCTGCAAGAAGGGCTTCCATTTTGATGGACTTCTGGACAAGACATATCTGGAGTACAAACGCCTGCCCCTTTGCAGCGCGGCTATGCTGTATCTCGCAGAGGTTAACATCCAGTAGGACATGGAACTTGACATTCTGAGATTCGACCCACAAATGCAGTCCTTCAGCCCAAATGAGACTATTTACACCTGAGAATTAAAAGAAAGTCTAAGAAAAATTTGAACTCAATTGCCTAGAGGCTGACTTGGGAAACATTTTCTCCTGCCAACAGATCAGGAATGATCTGAGGCCAGCTGGGGTCGGCCGTCACTCTGTGGGGATAGGTACTAAGAATGCGTGCAGCGCTGACACTGGGTACTTGTACACACAGAGCCAGGGATCACATGACCAAGGGGTCTGCACACAAGATCTGTTATCGACAGAAACAGCCCTCGATGGCAGCCGGCTATAAACAGCTGACTACGCTCCAAGACTAACACCACCTTCCACCTCCCCTGTCCATCACATTCCAGAACATTTGGAAAGCGGGTTTTTAGCCGATCTGCCTTCCTGGAACCCCACCCTCCACACACACATACCTTTTCCTCTCCTTTCCAAATTCTTGCTCTGACCAGAACCTAGCTCCCATATTCACACCCTCTCCAGCTGGCGGTATTTGTCTCAATCTCCGCCTTCCCCAGTACTCCATAAGCTCTGTTAATCCAGGAATGTGGCTGCCAGGGCCCAGCCCTCCACCTGGCACACAACATGTCCTCAGACACTGGCCTAGGACAGAATTTTCAGAGGCTCAATTACTCGGGAGATGTGGTATTCGCTATCCTGGCGCGGACAGACCCATACTTGTCTGATGGGATGGGAACATCAGGGCAGTGCATTGAAAATGGGATCGGAAAAAAAATTAAAAAAAAAGAAAATGGGATCGGGAGATACACCCATTTCTGTGCCAAAACATCTGAAATCTCAACACATGAAGGGGTCTTCTAGAAATTCATAAAAGGAGCCAGGGTTGTTGCACAATGAGTTAAGCTGCTACCTGTCAGTCCGGCATCCCCTATGAACACAGTTCAAGCCCCAGCTACTCCACTTGCAATGCAGCTCCCTGCTAACATGCCTGGGAAAGCAGTGGAAGATGGCCCCTACTATTGACATGGAAGACCTGGATAGAGTTCCAGCTCCTGGCTTCTGCTTGGCCCAACCCCAGCCATGCAGCCACTTGGGGAGTAAACCAGTAAATGAAAGATCTATTACTATCCCTAACTATGTCTTTTAAGTGAAAAAAAAAAAAATCCTAAAAGTGTTTTATAAAGAAACTTTGCACCAACATAGACCCATCTTTTATTTCCACTTTTCAGTGTATTTTCTTAAAAGAAAAAAAAAATTATTTGAGTTACAGAGAGGCAGAGAGAAATCTTTCATCCATAGGCTCACTCCCCAGATGGTTCCAACGGCCAGGCATTAGCCAGGAGCCAGGAGCTTTTATCCGGGCCTTCCACGAGGGTGCAGAGGGCCAACCACTTAGGCTGTGATCCGCTGCTTTCTCAGACACATTAGTAGGTAGCTGGATCAAAGTGGAGTGTGGGGGGTGGGGGGGTCCTTGAACTAGCATCCACTTAGGATACTCACATTGTGGACGTGGCTTTGCTCATAAAACCACAGCACCAGCACCTGCAAGTACTTTCCGAAATGTTAGATCAATCCCAGCTTCATGAGATTCTATGATCTTGTGAAATACACTCCTTCTGCTCAGTTATTTTTGGTATCATTCTGTTCAGGCCCATACAACGCGTGGCTCTCCAGGTGACAGTATTTTATACTCAACATCATTCCAGCACTCCTAACTCCCTACAGCTTCTCAATCACTGGGGGCGGGGGAGACTTGGTCCCATGCTGCCCTGTAATCTCCTTCCAGTTTATATTTGATCCTATTGATTCCCCAAAGGCGGGATTAGAAGGCCAAAGGGCACAGACCCACTGCCAAAGTCATTTCCAAAAGTTTTCACATTGGCCTTTTCAGGAGAGCATAAAGGCTTCCTAGGACCTTCGCCAGCCTCCTTGGACAACAGACAAAAAAGGAAACCACACAACGACCCGATTATAACCAACTTTTCTCGCGTGACCGAGAGGAGCGTTCCCCGTGTGCGTTTAGGTTTCATTTGTGAATTCTGACGTACCCTGAAGCCTGAGCACCTGGAAGGCCCCACCCTGTCCTACGAAGCCCACCCGCGCAGGGAGCGGGAGGACAGCCGCTGCGGGTGACGGGGTGCAGGGGCCTTTGCCCAGGAGGCCAGCAGGAAGCCGGACCCGGCGTCGCGCCACTCCCTCACCCCCTCCACAAGCCGCAGGTTCCGTGGCCACCGCCGTGGCACTTCTCCCGGCCGCAGCTCGCTCCATCCCCGACCTCGGCCGGAACGGTGTCCCTGAGCCCCCAAACCCCAACCCAGCTCTGCAAAGAGCGGGTGCCGGGCTCCCAGGGGCCCAAGGCAGCCGGTGCCGCTGCCCAGGTCCGCGCATCCACGTGGCACGCGTGCACGCCCAGGGTGGCCGTGACCGCAGCCCCCCATCCCGGGCCCGCCCCCTCGCCTCACCTCACCTCACTTGGACTCAGTTCTCCGCCCCATCGCCTGAGCCAGTGTCGCCTGGTCGGGAAGGGCCAGGAGCGGGAGAGGCCGGGCGGAGGCGGCGGTGCCCACACCCCTCCTCGGTCTCCTAACTCACCTCGGACTCTCGGCCTCCCCGCGCCCGCTGGTGCCGCCGCCGGCCGGCCGGTCCCGTGATTTTCGGGAGCACGCAGGGTGCTGCGACGGCCGCCACCGCCCCTCGGGTCTCGCCACTCGGGTCTCACTGCCCGGGAGCGGCCCCTTAAGAAGGACCGGGCTCCGGCAGACAGGGCCCTCCCACCTTCCCTTATTGGATGGTCTGCGGAGGCGGGCCCTTGAAGGACAGCAGGATTGCCCTATGGCTGCAGAGGGCCGGAGGTTGGCAGAAAGGCTCAGCCGCGCGGGGCGGGCACCGCCCCCTCCGTCACGCCCCACCCGGATTTGGACCGACTCCGAGCGCGGGGAATCCGGCAGTCACGTGGCCTGGCACCCCGACTTCGTGACACCCCGCACCGACGGCCGCTCCGGTCACTTCCTGCCTCTTGGGTTTAACCTTGAACAACTTCCCCGCTGAGGCCCCGTGGGCGTTCATCTTGCCCTGAATTAGGATGGTTGCCAAACTTGCCCTCTCCCTGTGTCCTAAAGGCCAAGACCGGAAGCGCGGGGGTCGCCTGGGTGCCACCTTGCTTTGGGTTTGCTGCAGTCCTATCTCCTGGAGACCTCTGCACTCGCCCGCGGGCTGCCGGCTCCTCCATCCCACTGTGACCCCGACCTGAGGTCTCCGACCTGTGAGTTCCACTTGGGCCTTACTCTGCAGGGAAAGTCATCTTCTCACAGCACTGCATGACATCTGGACCTCACACGGTGAGACTCCACCTGCTTCCTCCTAACGTTTTTATTTCTCGTTTTTTAATTAGTTATTTGCATCTTATTTGAAGGGCAGACACACACACAGAGCACGTCCACTGGCTCATTAGGCCCAAGCCAGGAGGGCAGAACTCAGTGTGGGTCTCCCACATGACGGCAGGGACAGGATGAAGTATTTGAGCCTTAGATGGCAGCCCAGCCTCAAATCAGATACTCCAATACTTAGCAGGGTCTTAACTGCCATACCATATGCCCACATTATAAGAACTCTTCTTAAAAATTATATAAAGATGGCCAAACATTAAAAATACTAAAGAACAGAACTTTTTAAACATTTGTTATTATTTAAAGGCAGTGTTACAGGGGGGAGGGAACAGGAAGAGAAATTTCTTTGTGTTATTTCAGCCCCAAATTGCCTCAGCAGACAAAACTGAGCCAATCTGAAGCCAGGAGCTTCCTCCAGGTCTCCAACATGGGTGTAAGGGCCCAACAACTTGAGCCATCTTCCGCTGCTTTCCCAGACCACAAATAGAAAGTTGAACCAGAAGTGGAACAGTGGAGACTTGAACTGGTGCCCGTATGGAATGCCAGCACCACATGTGGAGGCTTAGTCTACTATGCCCCTTAACAACAGAACTTTCCTGATTGTGGAAGCTCATCTTTGGAGGTAGAGAAAAACAAGAGATCAGAAAAAGCCACGTGGAGCCCTCAGAAGCCCCTTGGGAAAGGTGACAGGGGCTTGGCGCAGGGGTGGGGTGGGTAGGTGGGGTGTGGAGGGGGAGTGGTGCAAGCCAGCCTACCTGGAGCGGGGGACAGTGCCTGCCACTTAACTCCCCTGAGAAGTACCCTGTGCGGTATTTACAGTCCCGCTAAGTGTTAGCCTTTTCCAGAAATTGTACGTCAGAATTCGCAATCTCTCTGGTTGTCCTGAACACCAAGGAGGCTGTTTCAGACCCAAACTAAAAATAACTCTAAAAGATTCTACATGTCCGGGTACAGGAGAACAGCGAAACCCAGTTAGAAATGTTGCTTGTGCTTTTGAGGTACAGATGGATGCTCCGGGGGTTCACAAGAGTTTATCTTTCGGGGTCAGAGTAGCCTGTGGGTGCTGATGGGTGCCCACCATGAGTCAGGTCGCGGGCTGGCTCCTGCAGACGCACAGATGGCTGGGCCACCGCTTGCCTAAGAAAAGTTACATCACTCATGAGGGCTGTGTGTGTGTTACCACACACCCCACTTTCAAAGTAAAAATACACCCTTGAGGATTTTGTGTGGGACTTCCATTTAAAAAGCTGTAACTGGCTCAGTCACCAGGGCTGATGAATCAGCCAGCCCAAGCCCCACCCCACCTTTAGGACACCCTAAGGTTTTCTTGTCTCAAGGTCTTACAAGAGAGATAGAGAGAGAAAAAAGAAAGAAAGGGAAAGGAAAAGGACTTCTCTTCCCTCTGAGGATAAGAAGGTATATAGCTCGATGTGGTCACTCTTTGAAATAAATACTTAAAATATTCAGCCTCATTCAAAGCTTACTGCGGGGATGGTGGGGAAAGAGGGAAGTGAAACTCTTTTATAATTTAATATACCTTTAAATTCCATCCCTCCATGATTTTTTAAAAGGATTTCTTTATTTTCATTGGAAAGGCAGATTTTACAGAGGCGAGACAGAAAGAT